GAGTCGGAGAGGCCCTGGGGATCCTCGATCGCGGGGATGAGCCCCGTGGCTTCCCGCCGTGGATGTTCACCTGGCGTCTGGAACGTTGTGTGGAGGATCTGTGACGCCTTCGCAGACGTTCCGGGAGCGGAGAACCGGGAGAGGCTGTTTGCCCCGAGATCCGGGCAGAGCTAGCACCCCGTACCCCCCACCGGACACCCACGTCACGGCCCGGGGAGGAAGGGGAGGCACCACGCGCTGACTGTAAAACCTCAAGTCTCTCCGAATTCAATAATAATAATAATGCGCCTCAAAGCTGTCATCCTGAGGACTCGGGAGGCTGAGATCTGAGGATCACGGTTCGAAGCCAGCCTGGGCAGAAAAGTCCCCTCGAGACTCTTTATCTTCCAAGAAACCACTCGAGAACCGCAAGCGGAGCTGTGGCTCAAAGTGGGAGAGCGCTAGCCTAGAAGGAAAAGAGCTCAGGGACAGCGCCCAGGCCCTGAGTTCCAGCCCCAAGACCCACAAGAAGGAAAAGACAATATACCTCTCGCTCATCGGGATTGACAGGCATCTTTCTAGTTGCCAAAAACAGTACTTCTTGGCCCCTCTCTTCTTCTTTTCACCTCCTTCCATAGAGAAAGCTCATTGGGTGTGCTTGCAACATTAATCAGAATCAATACTTCCTGCCCATGTTTCTCCTCTGGATTATGCTTCAGTGGTCTACTAAATGATCGTCCTTCACCTCAGACTTTATTATCAAAACAACAGGCAGAAGATGCCCTTACAAAGCAAGGCAAGCCACCAGTGGCTACCAACTCCGTTTCTGTATGAAAGCTATGATCTTTATGAAGACCTACCTACAGCCTTTGGTTTCGTTTTTCTCCTTTTGGGTCTCAGACTTCATCCCCAAACTCTCATTTTTGCTTGAATCTTCCAGACAGACAGACAGACAGACAAGTGCTCAGGGCTAGAATATTGTTCCTGTAATGTCCATTTGTCTTCACCTCTTTACAAATCCTTGCTGAAAAGTCACCTAAACAATAACACTTAGTCTAACTCCTCTATTTTAAATTGCTACAGTTCCACTCCAATCCTCAACATTTCCTACCTTGTTCTGCTCCTCCAAGGCCTTCCTCCTATTGCAACAATCTTTTTTTTTTTTTTTTTTTTTTTGGTCGGTCCTGCGGCTTGAACTCTGGGTCTGGGTGCTGTCCCTCAGTTCTTCAGCTTTAAGGCTAGTAATGTGCTACCACTTGAACCACAGCACCACTTCCGGTTTTCTGGTGGTTAATTGGAGATGAGTCTCACAGACTTTTCCTGCTCCAGCTGTCTTTGAACTGTGCTCCTCAGATCTCAGCCTCCTGAGTGGCTTAGGATTACAGGCGTGAGCCACCCACTCCTAGCCTATTGCAATACTCTTATGTCATTCATACATTTATCTTTGAGTGTCTGTTTGCCCCCAGTACAAGATGGGATTTTTGTTTTTGTTTGTGGTACTAAGGATTGAACCTAGGGCCCGGCGTGTGTTAAGCAAGCCTTCTACCATTGAGCCATATCCCCATACCTTCAGAGCTGGGATTTTTTTTCACTGTTCCATTCAACTGATAACAAAGTGCCTGGGAAGGGGGAAAAAAGAGGAAAAAAAATTAATTCCCTGGAATAAAAACATAAAACCATAACAAAAAAATGGCCATTTTAATTTTTGTTAATTCCTCTGAGTTCAAATTCCTATTGGTTACCCAGAAGATCTTAAACTACATCATAAGCGTTTTGATTTTTCTGGTTACAGGGAATCTAACAATAACCATTTATGTAACTAAATGTCAGGTTGTTTGGGGTCACTGATATCCTGGTATCCTATTTCACTGACCAGAAATAACGTGATCGGGTAGATGTTTATTGATGTGACACTTAAAAGCATACTGTTTCTAAAATTTTCCTAAGGGGAAAAAAAAAAAGAAAATAAATAGAAAATAAATTCCTGAGCTTGATACCTATGTTCGTTGTCTTCTCCTTTTAAACTGCAAATGTAGTCACCTTGTGTGAATGCTTTAAAATTTCCTACCATTTATAAAGAGTAAAACTCAGTATGTAAACATTTACTGATTTTTCATATTTTAGTTATAAAAGTGTGATTGAAGGACCCAATCTCATTAATTGAAAAGTCAGGTACACAGTTCTATTTAGATGACATTGTATGAGAGTATGTGTGAGTAGTTATTTGCTCAGTAAGACAGTAGGAGTACAATCTCTTTGCATAATTTATCCTTCATGACTTAAAACCATTTAAATCCTGGTGCTGATGGCTCACACCTGTAATCCCAGGTATTTAGGAGGTTGACACCTGAGATTGGCAGTTTGAAGCCGGTCTGGGGAAGAAAAGTCTTTGAGACTATAATTGATCACCAAAAAAGCCAGAAGTAGAGTTGTGGCTCAAATGGTAGAGTGTTTTTCACCTTGAGTGAAAAGGCTAAGAAACAATACCTAGGCCCTAATAATATTCATAATAATAATAATATAAAGCTACTGATGATACATTACAATTTTAAATAGAATTAAACTTTACAAAATTACTGATAAGGGATTCTCATCAATGCCAAAAGATACTTCATTGGTATAGTAATACCAAAAAAAAATTTTCAAGAGTCAGTTAAATCATGAGTCTGCGCTGTCCTTAAATCTGTTTCAAAAAAAAGAAAAAAGAAAAAGGGTGGAAAACAGACTTCATTATTTCTTCAGGTAAAGTACATTGAAAATACTGAGAAGTAAATGCAACTTTCATAGTCCAAAAGAAATTGTTTCACACATTTACTGATCCTTAAGAAGTAGACATTTTAAAACTAAGCACAACAGGAAACAGCTTGTTGGCGTATTTGTTAAGCTTTTCTTAAAAGCTCTTAAATAATTTCTTTTTCCTAAAAGTGTGTCATTAATATTTTTTTACTGATTTCCAAAAGTCAATACCAGCTCTAGCATCCAGACTCACTCTGGAATTCAAATCCATGCTTTGCTACTTAGTTTGCTAGATAACTAAGCAAGCCTACCTTTTCTCTTCATTTAGTAGATCTAATGGTACAAAATCATTGAGAGAACTCAAGTTCTTAGCCCTGGAGTTGGCACAGACTAAATGCTTATAAGAAAATACTAGTTATTATCTTTATGCAAGCCTGTAATTAAGCTCATTGCCCTACATTGCCATAATTCTGAGAAAATGGCTCATAAAAGGCCCCAAATAGGACGGTTTGAGTTCTATATCAAGATAGCCTAATAGTCCATTAAATAGATCTCTATAATTTTTTAATTATTTTTTACCAGTCCTGGGGCTTGAACTCAGGGCCTGGGCATTGTCTCTGAGCTTCTTTTTTGTTCAAGGCTAGCACTCTTCCACTTGAGCCACAGGGCCACTTCCCACATTTTCTGTGTATGTAGTACTGAGGAATCAAACCCAGGGCTTCATGCATGCTAGGTAAGCACTCTACTACTAAGCCACATTCCCAGCCTTCAACTAAATATTTGTAAGGAGGCACTAACATCTCTTCTATTGCCATAATATGGAAGGCACCGCTTCAGGTAAGAGGAATAAGGCCTAGACTTAGAAAATCATTATACTTGAATGACAAGAGGTTCACATTTTGCACAAAACTACTTTCAGCATAGCATGAATAGACTTCCTGGTTAGTCAGGGAATCTCTGGTGCTGGCTAACTAGTTATTTGTGTGCCCTTCAATTGTGTCCAGGTTTCAATGATAAATGATGACTAGAAACATGCAAATTGCTTGGGTTACAGAATGTATCAACACCAGACTCCTGCGGCTCACACCTGCAATCCTAACTACTCAGAAAGCTAAAAAGCGGGGAGGGGGAGGGGAAGGGAATTCAGATTTGAAGCCAGCCAAGGTATACAAATCCATGACACTCTTATCTCCCATTAACCAGCAAAAAAAAAAAAAAAAAGCCAGAAATGGAGGTATAGCTCAACAATAGAGTGCCAACCTCCAGGGAAAAACAAAAACAGTCAAGCAAGAGTTTGAGATCCTGGAACACAAATAAAAAAAATAATTTACTCGAGAGCCTGTGATCTAAGGATTGCAGTTTGAAGCCAGCCATGGTAGAAAAGTCCCCGAGAGACTCTTGGCTCCAAATAACCACTCAAAAGTTGCAAGTGGGGCTATAGCTCAAAGTAATAAGAGTGCTAGCCTTGAGCAAAAGAGCTTAGAGACAGTGCCCAGGCCCTGAGATCAAGCCACACAACCAACAAACAAAAAATTATCAGTTCTTGGCCAGGCTCCTGTGGCTCACGCCTGTAATTCTAGCTACCCATGAAGCTGAGATCTGAGGATCACAGTTCAAAGCCAGCCCAGGAAGGAAAGTCTGTGAGACTCATCTCCAATAAACCATCCTGAGTAGTGCTGTGGCTCAAATGGTAGAGCGCTTGCCTGGAGCTAAAGAGCTGAGGGACAGCACCCAGGCCCAGAGTTCAAGCCCCATGACCAACAATATATATCAGTTCTGTGTACAGCCATACAACTCAAATTAACTTCCTATTTTCCCCTTTTCCTTGAATGACAAGCTAGGCAAGGGCTCTATCTTTAAGCTGTAGCAATAACCCCAGTCCTTTAATGGCTATTTGAAAAGAAGATCGGGGGCTGGAAATGTGGCTTAGCGGTATAGTGCTTGCCTAGCATGCACAAAGCCCTGGGTTTGATTCCTTAGTACATATAAACAGAAAAAGCTGAAAGTGGTGCTGTGGTTCTAGTGGTAGAGTGCTAGCCTTGAGTAGCAGAAGAAGCTTAGGGACAGTGCCCAGGCCCTGAGGTCAAGCCCCAGGACTGGTTAAAAAAAAAGAAAGAAAGAAAAGGAACAGAACATCAGAATTGACCGAGTAAACCTATAGAACGAGGAAAATGCAGGTCAAGATTTTGTTATCACCACTTTGAGTCATAACACCCAAAGGCTTTGTGTGTGTGTGTATGTGTGTGTGTGTGTGTGCATGCACGCACGTGTGCAAGTGGTGATGCTGGTATTTGAACTCAGGGCCTGGGAGCTATCCCTGAGCTTTATTTTGCTCAAGGCTAACCTCTGCTACTTGAGACATAGCTCTATTTCTGGCTTTTTGGAGGTAGTTGATTGGAGATGAGAATTTCATGGACTTTTCTGCCCAGGCGGGCTTCAAATCTCAATCCTCAGATCTCAGCTTCCTGAGTAGCTAGAATTACAGGCGTAAACTACTGGTGCCCAACTCTAAAGGTTTTCTTTACTTGTGCTTTGGACATTAATAACAAACTTTGTAAATCCCATAGATGAATGTCAGATTGATTCATTTAGGGGATTTGGTGTTTGTTCCTAAAATATAGTAGAGGCAGTCCAGGAAATATACAACATATATTGTCTTATTTATTCTTATTATACAACATACGTCTCTTCTTATTTGTGTTGGTGTGTGTGTGTGTGTGTGTGTACCAGTACTGGTGTTTGAACTCAGGACCTCTCTCTTACTCAGCTTTTTTTTGCTCAAGGCTGGCCCTGTACAATCAGTTCCTGCTAGTAATTAGAGATAAGAGTCTCTGGAACTTTTCTGCCCAGGCTGGCTCCGAGCCAGGATCTTCAGATCTTAGGATCCTGAGTAGCTAGGATTACAGGAGTAAGCCACTGGCGCCTGGATAACATACCTCTTGAGTGCCTGTTATGTATACTGAATCATCTTTGCTGCTGTTGAAGATACGAAAAATCACAAGGCACAGTCCAAGAACATAAATCCTACTGGCAATCATCAGATATCTTAGCTACTTAACCAAAATGCTAATGAGATATAT